TACTTTCTTTCTGAACCTTCCCAATCTTACCATTCTCCCTTTTTCACACCCCTATTAGATGGTATCTAACTTCCCTTAGAGCAGTTTTTACAATATGGTTGGCAAATATTTCCAGCTCTCCCTCCAGACTCATGGTGGCACCCTGCAGTTGGATGTGGTCACTGGGCTTGCTTTGGCCAGTGAAATGTGAGTGGGAGCTCTAAGAGCCAGTGCTTAATTCTCCACCCTCCCTCACTGGGAACGTCCTTGATGTAGGGAGAGGCTCTGTATCTTAATCATCACTTCATCTTCTAAGGTACTTAATGCAGTACTCGGCATTATGCGTAATGAATGTTTAACTAGGTGATTTAATTTTTGATTAGCTATGTGAAACTTGTAACTGAAATATTTTTGTTAATTTAAATTTTTCAGAGATGTTAATATCTAAGCATTTTTTATTCTGCTTTCTAGCCCTTAAGTTTTTTTTTTTTTTTTTTGCGAGGAAGATTGGCCCTGAGCTAACATCTGCCAATCCTCCTCTTTTTGCTGAGGAAGACTGGTCGTGGGCTAACATCCATGCCCATCTTCCTCCACTTTATATGGGATGCCACCACAGCATGGCCTGACAAGTCGTGCATTGGTGCATGCCTGGGATCCGAACCGGCGAACCCTGGGCTGCTGCAGCGGAGCACGTGCACTTAACCGCTTGCACCACTGGGCTGGCCCATAGCCTTTCAGTTTTTTTAACAGCAGTTAATAGTTAATGATCTAAATATTAATAAATATACTAGGTAGGACGCAATATTCAAAGGAACTCTGTTCTATTTGTACTTTAACTAATCACTTCTCAGTTTAATACTCAGATTTTCTTAAAGTTAAGGCATGCCTGAATTGTTATTGCATTGTCCTTGGCCTTCTTTCCTTATTTGGTTCATCTGGTTTTCTTCCTTGTTTTGGCTTTTATTCTTTTTCCTTACTACGCTATTATAAAAAGTGGTCATGAGGTGAAAAAAATCACAGATTAATACCCTGAAACTTTTGGAGGAAAGATATTAGGATATTCCAACAAATGAACCACATTCTTTATGCTCCTCTTATCATACTCTTTATGAACTGCACACTCATATGTGGAATATTAAAAAAACAAAACAAATGAACAAACAAAACAAAAGCAAACTCATAGATACAGAGAACAGACTGGTGGATACAGGGGAGGGACTGTGGGGAGGGTGAAATGAGTGAAGGGGTCAATGATATGGTGATGGATGGAAACTAGACTTTTGGTGGTGATCATGTTGTAGTGTACACAGACATTGAAGTGTAAAGTTGTGTACCTGAAACTTCCACAATGTTAAAAACTAATGTTATCTCAATAAAAAAATAAAAAGGCTAAGCTTTAGATTATAATAATGACTTTCATCTACTTCTAACACCTAGAGGATGGCAAGCTTGGTTTTTTTCTTTTTTTACCTCTGTAGATCCATGTTCTTCAGTAGCAAAGGGGGAAAGACTTTCATAGAGTTTTGTGAATGCATTCAATCCAGTCTCTATGATCTCTGCTTCTATGCTGGGATCCAAAGGTTCAGTCTCTGTGAAGTCCAGTTCCCACACTGTATCCACCCATTCTAGTGGGAAAATGCAATTAAATCAATAATTTTCTAGAACAAGTAAAACACCAATAATATTTAGAATCTAGGTACACTGAAGACAAAAGTTTATTAGTCACAACTCACATTTAACTGTACAATACAGGTGTAGCATAATTAAAGGAAAGCAGAAAAGATTAAGAAAATCTTTTTTTTAAAATCATAATTGACAGCTGGCTATTAGCATGGTCATCTTCTAAAAATATCAAGAAGGAAAACACCTTTTAGATATAACAGTTTTGGGGAATGATACTTCAAAACACTTAATGATCAGGCTTTCCCATACATTCAATCTGGAGAGGAAAGAGGTTAATAAAAGACTGCCTCAGATGGCCCTTTGTGACAATCTTTTAACTAAGTTAATAAACCCAAATAAAGTGTATAGCACAAAGGAACATCTGAGGCAACTGACTGTTTAACATCCTTTAATTATTCATTCACTCTTTTCTAATCATTCTCCTAACAAATACAATCATCTACCTAAAAATGTTCTTGCATCTTTTCCTGCCTTTTTTGTCTCATACATTCTCCCATTTATTTTATATGCATATTTTTAAATGCACACCAGTATTTCTGATCTCATTTCTGGATCACAACTACCAAGCCTCAAAGAAAAAGGAAAACTTCTGGTGTCAGGAAATCAATAAATTCAATAAATGGTAGCTACTATTATCTTTACAATGGATGACTGTTAAAACAGTACAGTGGGCCCTGGGTATCTGCATCCTCAGATTAAACCAACAGGGGATGGAAAGGCCTACCATGTTTGTGTCTGTACTGAACACGTACAGAATTTTTCTTGTCATTGTTCCCTAAGTAATACAATATAACAACTACTTACATTGTATTAGGTATTATAAGTAATCTAGAGATGATTTAAAGTACACAGGAGGATGTGTGTAGGTTATGTGCAAATACTATGCCATTTTGTATAAGGGACTTGAGCGTCCGCAGATTTTGGCATCCAAGGTTGGTCCTGGAACCAATTCCCTGAGGATACTGATGGACAACTGTAATAGATATGTAAAACACTAGAGAGAATAATTGAAAATATTATGGGGGAGGGGCAGGGTCAGAGGTGGGAAGAATGACAGAAGTGGGAAGGATGATTCTTCTTCAATTGGCCTAAACGTGGGAGTTTACCAGGGAAAGAAATGCAGACAACTGCATCCTAGACAGGGAGAACTGCATAACAAAGCACAAAGGGAAAAAAAGTATAACTTGTTTAGAAATGAACAAAATAGGTACAGCACTGAGTTTGAGTGCAAGGGGTGAGAGTCATTATTAGTATTTATTCAGCAGTTACTATGTGCCAGGTACTAAGTTGAGCTTCGCAAAACCCTTGTGAGGTAGATATTATAATCCTCATTTGACATACAAGGAAACTAAGGCTTAGCAAGGTGAAGCAATCTGTCCAGTGATATATGGATACGCTAAGCAGCAGAGCCAAGAGACCAATCCCAGTAGCTCTGACTCCAAAAGTTAAGCTCTTGGAAAAGAAGACTGCTGTGAATGATGCAGGCTCTTAAACGGCATGCCAAAGATTTGTCATTTATTTAGGAAACGAAGGGGAAACACTAAAGGTTTAAAGACCTGACAGGGTTACATTTGTGTTTTCAAACGTGATCGAGGTAGAGGTGTGGGTGATGGGCTAGAAGAGCTAGCATCAGAAAGCAGCTGGCATACCCCCCCAACTGCCTAGGTTGGCTACAACGAGGGCTTGAGCCTGGACAGCAGCCTCAGGAAACGGGGCAGGGAGGACCTGAGAGAGGGGAAGGGATAACCTCTCTGAGGGGAGAACAACCGGTGGTGGTGAGCAGGGAAGATGCAGGAGGAATGCCATGACTCAGGCTTGTGGACTGGCTGGTGCCATTCGCTGGCTTTGGGAACCCTAATTTCATTCACGTGACGTTTGAGGTGCCTGTGAGACATCCCGCTGAACCAATGAACACGAAGTTCAAGAAATAAGTCTGGCTGAAGAATAGACTAGCTATTTAAAACCACAGGAGTAGACGAGGTTGTCCGTGCAGACTGGCAGAACAAGGGGAAGGCCGAGAAAACAGGTGCAGAAGAACTAAAGAGATCGGACCACACGGCTCTTTTCCTAACGTCCCTTTACTGGCTGGGCCCCTCTTCGAGAGACGGCTCGCCAATGTCCGGGGGTGCACAGGCCTGGAGACCCCTTCCTTGCTGAGGGCTTGAGAGCCGAGCGCCCCACCCCCACCCGACGCCAGGCCCGGGGTGAGGGCATCGCAGGCCCAAAGCACCATGGCCCTTGCCTCCACGAGTCTCGCAGCCTCATCTCCTCACCTGGGCTGAGATCCAGCGGGCACCACGGCTGCAGTCCGCTCCCGAGAGCCGGCAGCGCCACCATGACCGCAGAGCACCGCTCCCCTCCGCTGTGGTCAACTTTCAAAGCTCGCTCCCGCGCGCGCCCCGAGACGTTCCTGCGGACCAATCACGACATCCGGAATTTCCTACCGACCAATCATCGCGCCCAGCCTTTACGAGCTATCAACCAATCAGCAGGGCCATCTGCCGCATGCGCACCAGCGGGGCGGGCCTAGGGCTGTAGACTGAGTCTAGGTTCCGCCGAGTAGTGTTTGAGCTTTGCCTTTCAAGTTGGGGTCAAGAACCAAGTTAAAGCGTAATAGCGCTTTATTTTTCTGTCTTGCCTTATTTTTATTAAATGGGAAGACACTTTAAAGAGAATTTGAGACAGTACACTTCCTGTAGTAATTGTCACCTCTGCCCCCTGTCAAGCGACATTTTCTGCGTGTCAAAGGACTACCCCGTCAGACAGCAATCGAACGCTGCACACATCGCAATGTGGATGGTAGCCTAACATTTATCGAACTAAAACAATAAAGGAAAAGGAAAAAAGCAAACCATTCAGAAAGAACATCTGCAGTTCTTTCCATTTTATGGGACATCTGACCTGAATTCCGGAAAGAGGCCGTGACTGCCATGTCAACTGTGGGAAAGACAAGCCGCCCTTCCTTCACTGCACATGCGCAGTGAGCACACCTGCCGGCGGCCCGGCGGCAAAAGGGACAGAGGCAGAGGTGTGCGCATGCGCGCGGCGACCGCACCGCGTCCGGCCCCGCCCGCAGCCGCGAGCACCTGGGTGAGCTGCACCGCGGAGGGCGAGGCCGGGTGGCTCGCTCCGCTGCTCCTCGCCGCGCCCCACGGTGGG